TTGAGAAAGAAAAAAGTTGGAAATCCAAGGCTTCCGAAATGCAAACTATATAGGGAAACGGGTTTCCTAATTCTTCTTCATTACGGAAACGGACACGAAACATGAATTTGGAGTTTCCGAAGTTCCGAATCTTTTCCGAGTTTCCGAAACGGGGAAACGTAAGCTGCGGAAAGTTTCCGTGCTTCATAGATCACTAGTAATTAATTTTCAAATATTATGCAACGTATTTATGTTAAATTATACTCCGTACTAGTGTACTACCTCTGTCCCATTTAAATGTTCTCATTGTAAACGACGGGGTTATTTAGTTAATATTTTATTCGATCGATTTGTTAAGATTGTCTCATTTTTCCTTTTCAATCCGTCTCACTAAGATTGTCCAACCTTTTCGATCCGTCCCGCTAAGATTCTCCCGTACTAAATATAGTAAAATTTATGTGTTCTAAATCATTCTTACTTTATTCTTATTTTATCAATTCAATATAAATCACATAAACTTACTTTTCTTAATAACCGCGTCACCTCCTCATGTGCCAATGTTAGGGTAGTATTTTGAAGGTAGTACTTCTTTTGGGTAATAAACTCCAACTTCTCGTTAATTAAGCATATCGTTAGCTACCTGACTTACAAGAAAATTAGGAATTACTGAATCAAACTATGCTCTAATCTGAGAGGGATACATGCTTCCTAGCAATCACATGAGTCGCACGATTCGCAAAGCATAGTTTTAATTGAAGGTAGTACTTAAATAAGGTAATTCGAGTATATATTTTGAGAAATAATTTTAATATGTATATAATATAATGAGATTAATGGTGATAACTTTGATGTTATAGATTTATAATTTTTAATAATTGATGATTAAATTATTATTTAAGAATGTTAATTGTTTTCTAAAATAGAATTGTGAACATTTATATGGAACGTCCACAACAGGAAAATAAGAACCTTTATATGAGACGAAGAGAGTAGAGTTTATTCAAATATGATAAGAACTACTATGTATGTTTTAGTGCCTGTTTGGCGATCATATTTTTCGGATTATTGGACTTATTAGCCAACTTTTTCACCAAACACGTAACTTTTGATTTCATGTGCTGAATCGTGTAAAAATGAAAAAAAGTAATGTTGGAGTTATTTTTTAACTATATTGGCTGAAGTTATGATAGAGGATCATTTTTGCTTGTTTTCATATAATTTTTCTTTGTTAATAAAATATATTTTAATTTTTTCCCCGTAAATCAGCCAATTCAGACAAAACTTCATAAATTTCAGCAGAACCAACCAATAAATCGATTTGCATATTACCAAACGGCTCTTAAAAGATATGAAAATGTGAAAATATTGGATTGGCCAAATGAATAACAATATGGATATAAAATGGAATCACATGAATCATTCAAAGAAGTTGATGCAAAGTGAGTGAAAAATATACTTCATTCATCTCACAAACCTATGTCAAATTCATTTATTTTTCCGTCTAAAAAAGCTTATCAATTTCATTTTAAATATGGAGTAAGAAATACTCCCTTCATATCTAAATAAACTATCCACTTTCCCTTTTGCTTAGTTTCTTAAAGTCTTCTTTATATTTTTGGTAAAAATCTAAAATCCAAATACATTTACCTTACCGCCCTCATTTATTTTCCACATTTACTACACTTACCAGTCCCATTTACTTCATACCCACTCCTACACCCCTACCTTCGGTCCAATCTCCGATTGAACTCGGACGTCAATCTCTGACGGATGTGATCTGATCTCCACAAAACTTACCTCCTCTGCACGTCAACGGCCCGAATAGATTGACCTTTACCAGAGTCTTATACCGAACTATATAACCCTTACTGTCCGGTAGCTCCTCCACCAATGTTACCTTGTAGTACGGGCTGTACAACTCAACAAAGTCTTCCGCGTTGCTCGCCACCTCCACGTTGTTGCCTCTCCGACAGCCCTCCGTCTGCAGAGTAAAAAATAATTTCGGTTTAGTTTATGAAACATTTAGGACCCATTTGGTGATCATATTTTTGACTTCACGCATTAGATTGTATTATAATCAAAATAAGTAAGGTTGAAAATAGCTTAATATGCCCCTGCAAGATGATATCTCGTTAGAGCAGACCAATCTTGTAATTCATGTGCTCGTCGTTGAGGCTTACAAAGATCTAATTGCTTATTTGAGACAATTAAGGGATTATAGTAAAAAGTCCGGGCATTATAGTTGCCATTACATAATGCCAACAATTTCATAAATTCAACAAATTAAGGGAATTCCAATATAATTGTTGGCATTATGTAATGGCAACTATAATGCCAACAATTTCATAAATTCAACCCATTCAGGGAATTCCGATATTATCATTCGTGCACTGAATTATGTAATATTCGAAAAACGTAAGATGGAGTTACTTTTATCAATGAATTTGTTGATAAGAAATATTTTAGATTTTGCATATACATTACCTCGGTTCTTAAATAAATGCAATATGCTAAATTTTACTGTACTCATATACTTTGTTTTGATTACATTTTATTTATTAATGTATTTAGAATTCATTTTTATAAAGTATTTTAAAACTCTTCTCATTTTAAATTTTCAAAATGTGAATTAAAAAATGTTACACATTTTATTAATTGCTAACAAATAAAATGTTCTCATTTTATAAAGTATCTTACTAGGAAACTAAATTTCTATTTTGGGTGAATTATTATACATACTTTATTCTAAAAAATGTCACATAATAAAATGTCAAATTTTATTAAAAAAATGACATCGTCTTAAAATATGTAGTGTTTTTAGGTATTAGAAGATACACTAACAATTGATCGGGGGAATTGAGGAGGAGAACTTGCTCACTCATATTAGTGCTTTTAGTTAGTAGAAGTTAAGCTTGCTAACAATTGAGTGTGATAGCTTTTTCTCTCATATGTAATTCTTTTAAGTATAATAATAAGAAGATTAGTGCTTTTAGGTATTATAATTTAAGCTTGCTATCAATTAAGAGGGATAACTTTCTCTCTCATATGTAATTCTTTTAAATATAAGATAAGTCGGCTAACAATTGAGCGATATAATTTTCTCGCTCATTTTTATTGCTTTCAGGTATAAGAAGCTAAAAAGATAAACTTGCTAAAGAGAGAGAACTTTCTCTCTAATTTGTAATGCTTTTTAGTATAAGGTAGAATAAGCCAGCTAACAATTAAGCGGTAAAAGTTTTTCTCTCATATGTAGTGCTTTTAGATATAATATTTTAAATATAAGAAATATTAAGCCATAAGCCGTCTAACAATTGAGTGAAATATTTTTCTCTCCCTCTCTCTCCCTCCCTCCCCCTCTCTCTCTCTCTCCCCTCTTATAAGCAGTGCTTTTGGAAATAAGATAATCCAACTAACAATTGAGAGTTGAGGAAGGATTTTATAATAAGATAATTCAACTAACAGTTGAGAGTTGAGGGATGATTTTATCTATCATATGTAGTGCTTTTAGATATAAGACCAGTCTCCTAACAATTGTGCGGGAGATTTTTTTAATCATATGTAGTGATTTTAGATATAAGATTTTAGATATAAGAAAGATTAAGCAATAAGTCGTCTAACAATTGAGCGAGAGATGTATATCTCTCATAAATAATGCTTTTAGATATAAGAAGATAATTCAGCTAACAATTGAGAGGGGGGGTTCTCTATTATATATAATGCTTTTAGTTATAAGATAAGCCGACTAATGATTGAGAGGAAGAATGTTCTCTATCATATGTAGTGCTTTTAGCTGTTTGAAAATAAACTTGTTAACAATTGAGCAAAATCATTTATGTCTCTCATATAGTTCTTTTAAGTATAAGATAATCCGACTAACAATTGAGCGAGAGAACTATCTCTCTAATATGTTTCGTTTTTGGTATAAGAAGATAATTTTGAACGGGAGAATTTTTTCTCTCATGTAGTGCTTTTAGATATTAGAAGATATGCTGCTAACAGTTGAGCGAACGAATTTTCTCTCTCATATATAGTGCTTTTAGGTGTTTAAATAAGACGGCTAAGAATTGAACGTGATAATTTTCTCTCTCATATGTATTGCTCTTAGACATAAGAAGCTAAGAAGATAAGTTTGTTCACAATTGAGTGAGAGATTTCTCTCATATGTAATTCTTTTTAAGTATAAGATAATACGACTAACAATTGAGCATGCAATTTTTTGCTCCCATTTGTAATCTTTTCGATATCATACTATCTGACTAACAATTCAAAGAGAGAATTTTCTCTGATATGCAATGTTTTTTTTATATAACAAAATAAACTTGCTAATTATTGAGCAGAAGAATTTTCTATCACAAATATAGTGCTTTTAGGTATTAGAAAATAAATTTGCTAACAATTGAGTAGACAAATTTTCATATGTGTTGTTCTTTATGTATAAAATAAGCCGGATAACAATTAAGCTGTAAAAAATTCTCTCATACATGGTGTTTTTAGGTATAAGATGAACCGGCTAATAATTGAGCAGTATAATTTTCTCCTCACCCCCACCCGGAGAAGAGATATGGAAAAATGTTTAAGATTAAGAGTATTTATAGTTTTTTTTACCTCACCCCCACCCCACCCCCACCCCCCAAACTGCCCAGACCCCCCTGCCAGCCCACCCAACGGCTATATAGCCATTTGGGTAGTCCCCAGCCCACCCCCAACGGCTCTATTGGCCCAAATACAATTTTTTTTAATATAGCCGTTGTGACCCGGACCCGAGCCCGACTCGACCGGGCCACGTTTTGACAGAACCGAGCCCGCCCCCCCCCCCCCCCCCCCCCCAGGCCCCCTCCCCCTGCCCACCCCGGTTCAGGTCTACACCCGGTCCCAGACCACCAGACCGGGCCAGTCCCGGGCCCGCACAGTAGCGGGTCGGGTCAGGTCACGGGCCGGGTGACCCAAACCAAATCCACCACTACATTTAACTAATTCAACGTAATAACTGAACTCTTATCCATTCGAAGTCTGAAACCCAACAATACAAAAACAAAAAACGCAACACTCGGAGTCTCGGAAACAAAGGTGGTGTACACAACTGCACATTGTGCTATGCACGAGAAACTGAAAAGAAAATCAAAACACTGCTGTCATGTATTCATATGTTGAAGTAAGAAATGAAACAATCCATGAAGACCCTAGAGTAGATCGGACGGTTTAACTAGTGGAGTAAATTTAAAAGTACATTTTTGGGAGAAGTGTTTGGACTGCATATCCCAGCTCCAATTCAAAAAGTTGCTCATTTAATTGCTCCAGAAACATGAATTTTGCCCCAACGAACACAAAATATACTTATATAAGGGAGTCCCATGCGTCTGTGCTGGATAAACTTGACTTGACTTTGCATTAAAGAAAAACTTGTTAAGTAGTTTTGTCCATCTACATAAAAGCAATCCATCAATATTGTTGAATGCAAAAAGGTCATCATCATATCAGTATCCAAATAGACAAATCTACCATCTCCAATGAAGGAAGCTTTAATGCCCAAGAATAATCAAAGAATCAATCATAAGGAATCTGAATATAAGCTGCATCACAAACAAACGGAACATCAGCATATGTTCCGAAAAGCGCACACTTGATGCACTCCAAAACCGTGAAGAGATAAGCAAATGCAACAGCGGCCCAGAAATGCATCCCAAACTTCCCCCAATAAACGGCTTGTGGCATCCAACGGCTCACAGTTCCTATAACCTGTAAGGCAATCTCCAAGAGCATGCCCATCACCATATGAAACCGGAAAAAGTGGGGCCACTCCTTTCTCCTAACAATCCCGAGGTAAGCAACAAAGAAGTAGGCCATGAGGAACCAGCCTGGCAACCTTCCTATGGCCCGCAGAAAGGGATATGTCAAGAATTCAAGTTTCTCCAAGAAGTGGTGAAGATGGTATGCGGTCTCGGCATACATCCACGTTTCATGGAGGGGCATTAGATAGGGGAGGCACGCTAAGGATCTCCACCACCACATTGGCTTCTTTGTCATGGGTGGGTATCGGAAACTTTTGGGGACATCCTTAGATGATGCTCTAGTGCAAAAGGAAAACCTATTTTGCCTTGGAGATTTTTGAAAATGATATGAAAAGCCATGATATTCCCCACATAAATGACGTGGTGATGCAGAAGAAAGACTCTGAAACCTTGTTCCTGAAAATTTTTTACAGGAAAATTGCATAAAACATGACAAAAAAGAACAAACAGTACTCAATATAAGAGCAAGGGGCCATTTGATTGCCTAGTTATGAAATTCCTGAATAAATATACCAGAGTAAACAAGTAGAGTGGGCAAAATCTCATATTCTTAAAACATACACACCTTGGGAGAAGCAAGATGTTAGATTGAGAAGAACTCCCCATGAGCTCCTAATGGCTGAGATGGGTGCCTTAGAATACAATTGGGAATGCCTTGTAAATGATGAATTGTAGGACATGGAGTTATTAGGCTCATAGGACATATAAACGCCACCAGAAGTTAGGGAGCATCCAACAGCATTCATATTGAAGCACTTAAATGAAGATTTAGTATCTAGCTATGTTGGTTGCACGATATCATCTGTTAAAGACAAAGGAAATTCAACAGCCACTCTGGTAAAACCCAAAGAACATGATAGTTTAGTAGTAGTTTAAACGTAAGAAATAGTGAAATTTGCTAAATTAAGCATGTTAATGAACTGCCACAAACTAATTAGTGATAGGTATTTTAAAATAAGATTTTAAGAAAAAATTTACTCCCTCTAATTAGTGATAAGTATTTTAAAATAAGATTTTAAGAAAAAATTTACTCCCTCCATCCTGCAACTAAGTTCCGTGTTTAAGTTCATGGATTTTAGAAGAAAAAACTTTTTAGTTGACTTTTCCAGGTATGCCCTTCCTCAGAAGCATCATCACCATTCATCATCATTTACCCCAGTGCCGCAAAGTCCCCTATCTACGGTGGGGTAAGGGGGAGTCGGAAGTACACAGTCTTACCCCTGTCCTAAAGCACATAGAGACTGTTTCCGGATGACCCATAGTGAAAATAGCGTCCAAAATTGCATTTACTGACTGTTGCTTCATGTAGATTATTACAGATTGTTCTAATCACTCACCCGATTGTGCATTTATGAGGAGATCTTAGAGATCTCAGAATCTCTAAATATCCCCAATTATCTTTTCTTTATTAGGGAACCTTAATTAGGAGGATTCCTTATTTCATTGTTTCTCTAGCTATATATATCTTGTATTCTTCTCCTTGTAACAAACAGAACATAATAAACAGAATACAGTTTACTTTCTTGAGTTATTTCTACATGGTATCAGAGCGTGGTTATTCTCTAAAATGATCAAGTTCGGATCCTATGGGATGACCACCGAGAGAGATGGATCTATCTCAATCACCTATGAACATTCAGAGGGTGTCCCAACTAGAGATGGCAGCAACCAAAGTATCAATGGAAGCACAGTCACCACTCCTAATCAATCAGATTCGATAATTACTTGAGCGGTAAAAGTTTTTCTCTCATATATAGTGCTTTTAAATATAATATTTTAAATATAAGAAATATTCAGACATAAGCCGTCTAACAATATGTAGGTATTATATGATGAGTATATATATAATTTCCCCTAATCCTTTTTATGTATGACCACACTTAGCTTTCTGGCCATTATATTCCAATCCATTTTTGGTTGGTTATTTTTCCCAAATTTTACAGAAATGATTAAGACCGCTTTGTAAATTTTGAAACGTTCAAGGTCTGTTTTCTCTATTTTAGAAACATCTCAAACCATTGCATGAATCCAGGATTGAGTTGGAGACCTTATCAAATTTAGATCAAACCTGATTAGAAGATTTAAATCAATTTATTGACTAGTACTCAATCCAAGATCTTTTAAATGTATATGTTTTAATAATAATGATAAACATATATAATAATAGTACAACCAATGACATTTAGTCATGAGCAATTTAAATATAACTGGGGAAATTTTATTAGAAAATGTCATTGCACAATAGCAATGCAAACTAGTGTGTTGCACTATGTCATGGCAAATCTTGCTTTTTTCTTGTAGTGATTGTACATAAGGTGGAACATGTTAAGCTCATTTTTTACAAGTCAAATCTTATTCAATCACGTATATATAAAAGCAATCCAAATAAATATGGAATGAACATGTAGTTATTTGTATACAGAGTATATATTACGGAGTACTTGACTATGTTCAAGATGATTGAAATAATTAGATTTATCATAAATGGTGTTGTTGACAATAATGGATGCTACGTGTTCTTTTTACGTTTTGAATTACTTGAACTACTTGATCTTGATATCGTGATGTACTATGGCCTTCTTTGCAATCCAAGTACAATAAGATTTTGATATATTATTATTTATGAATGAAGTTGAAATATTTTGTTTATTCTATCAATTGCTCATTTTACTTAACTTTAACTATTATTTTTGAATATTACTTGTGTTTTGAAATTTGATACATATATGTGGTAGAAAGTAAATTATGTGTTAATCCTTGATTGAAAAAAATTGAATTAGAAACCGGTAAAAACAAGAATCGAACTGTTTAGGCATGGTTGGGTACGTTCCATAACGATTCTTTCGTTTTTCTAGAAATTGAGCGGGTTTTAATAGTTGTTAATATATGGTTTTACAAAATTTTAAGAACTGAACTGGTCTCTGACCTAGATCTAGATCTGGTACGCGTACATGTAATCTTAATTATGATACACAAAACAATATAATTACCATTAAGTACATATATGCTTCCTTACATTTTAGTACTTTTTGTTTTAATTAATTTCTAATTATCAAGTGAAGTGGCTCACTTATAGGATAAACACACATAGAATCAAATGAGATTGAATCAAAACTAATAAGATATGAAAATGAATCTGAAGCATTAGATGTGAGAATAATGCATACTCCGTATATATTAATGTGTAATATGAATGTACACTAAAAGCGGGAAAACATTGTGCTCGTAGATATTGCTTAATTAGTTTTGGAACTAAATATTATTATTGTTGTTATTGTTTTTATTATATTATTATTATTACTATGTTTGATGTGAAATGAATATATGATGTGGCATGCAGCTCGGCAGATGGGATTTCGGGAGAAGAAAGAGTGTCCAACTTTGTGCAAATTAGCATCAGAGTACATAATAAAAGCGGATGGGTGTGAGGAGGACATCTACAATTTCTTTGCCACTGAGCCGCACGCCGATTCCCTGTTCATCAAGCTCGTGGAAGAGTTTGAGAGGTTGATCCTCAGTTAATTCGCTTTCCATTGGACCCAAGCTTCTTATATGATTAGCCAGGTATACACTTAGTTATTTACGTACCATACTTTAACCAGGGCCGGTCCTGGAAGACTAGAGACCCGGTGCGACGAAAAAATAAATGGGCCTTTTCTTTCCGACACTAAGAAAAATAAAACTTAAATAATAATGATAATAGTAATAAATTACACAAAATAAAAACATTAAACAACAGCCACAATACTTAAAATCATAATTCCTAAAATCATGTAAAAGTTTATAAATTGAAGTTAAAATTTAATTTAATTTTTACTTAATAACTTTAACCCACAACCAAAAAAGCAATAAGAATTAAGAAATAACATATTTTTACATTTACATCAAATTATTAAACATAAATGATGTAATTAATTCATCAATTAATTACACAAAATAAAAAACATTAAGCAACAGCCACAATACCTATTAATCCACTCTACATTTCTACTAAATTACTAATAATCCAAAGTCCCAAACAATCAAACATATAAGAAAAACAATTAAAACAATCTAATAGAACTATAGAAGTATAAAACTATAAAAGTAAAACTTACCTGCAAACTGCAAAGGCCAAAGGAGTGGACTGAAGTCTGAAGGGAGTGAAGGCCGGGACTGGACTGGACGCCTGCGGAGGTGTTGTTCTGCAGCTGGACGCCTGGACTGCTGGACGGCCGTCGGCCCGTCGCCCGGAGACCTGGACTGCTGGCCTGCTGCGAATTGCGATGGCCGATGAGCGATGAATGAAAGGCTCGAGTGCTCGACGGAACCTGCGAATTTTGGATGAATTGCCGAAGCCCGAAGGTTTTTTGTTGCGCCCCCTTTTTGTTGGTTGACTTATCTCAGGATTCAGGAGGTTGTGGGCTTTTGGGTTTATTTTGGACTTGGGCTGCTGGATTACCTAATACTAATACTATTTGGGGGGCTCATAATTTAGAGGCCCTGTGCAGTAGCAATGGATCTCCCTCCCCTGGGCCGGCCCTGACTCTAACTTGAAAATATGATCCAACTCATATTGGATCAGGGGCGGACCGTAGTAGAGACCCACGAGGGCTACCGTCCCCCAACAAGAATTTTTTTTAGTATATATATATATATATGAAGAATAATTTTTCTCTTCCCAAAAAATATTTTGAACACCCAAAAAATATTTTCGCCCCTCAAGATGACTTTCCTAGGTCCGTGTATTGGATAAAAAAATATTGAATGGTAATGTGGGAGGAGTTTTCAGAGGAATTCACATAACCCCGAGTTTTTTCAAACGTGGATATTGGATAGTATCTAGAATCACTAATGAATTATAACTCTACTATATCGCAATTGGTGCAATTTATTCACCTGGGCACCCAAGGGCGTAATATATATAGGACCTGTATGAGCCGTATAGATCCTGAAATCTAAGTTGGTTGCACCAAAGAATAATTATTTTAAGCATATGAATAGCGGCGTAATAAAAAAGAAAAAGTTAGATTGCTCTGGATTTCAGCTCACCATAGTCATAGTATAAATCTTCTTTGTTGTGAGTCTACCAAATTCAGTATTTATTTCTTGTGCAAACAATTATGGTTTAAAATACGTCATTATTCACTTTTAACCGCGGAAGCTATAGTGACGGAGGGTGACGGGAGATTTCCCGTCATTAAAACTCTTTTGTGACAGTTTTTTGTCTTTTAACTACGATATCTCCCATCATGATTGAGCACTTTTCTTGTAATGCAAGGCCCTTGCAACCCATTTGTGTCTCCACCACTAGTCTCCTTACTTTCTTGGAATTTGGATAATATTTATATTATGATCCCAAAATAATCATCTTTGATTTTTCATTTTGTTGTTTTCTAATGAGGGCGTTGTGCATATCTGATTTAATATATTCTCGTAATGAAAAACTAGTTTTTAATAGAGTGTAAAAAGGGTGGGTTGTTGAAACTTGAAAACAAGAACTAAAAATGAGTCGAGAAATAAAATTGAATTGTAAGCAAAACAAATCAAATTGTACGTAAAAGTACCAAAATTGAATCCAATTGCTATGTTACAAGCCGATGCGATTTAATTTTCTCTATTTCGACCAAAACAACTCAGTATGGATTTTCATATAATGATGAAGAAATAATGACACGAATATTACTTCTCAGCTTTCATTGGACAAATACAACAACAACAACATCCAAGCCTTAGTCCCAAAAGATATTGGGGTCGGCTAACATGAATCGATACATGATATCACCACCAAAAGGAAAAGAAAGGAAATAAAGATAAAAAAGATAAGCTATTATAAAAAGATAATATAAAAAGAGATGAATATACATAAAAATGATTAAATAAAAAGGATAAAAATAATGTTTATATATAAGGATAAAAAACAAGGAAAAAAGATGAGGGAAAAAGATGATACGAGATCACTCCTCCACACGAATACCCGCTCTCCACTTAGCTCTTTCCAAAGTCATGCCCTCATCCAAACCCAGAAGAAGCATATCACTTCGAACTCCCCTAACCCACGTCTGTTTGGGTCTTCCTCTCCCTCTCTTCTCTGCCTCTTCTCCACACATCTCGACTCGTCTGACAGGTGCATCACACGGTCTTCTACGCACATGACCAAACCACCGTAGGCGCGACTCCCGCATCTTGTCTTCAATAGGTGCTACTCCCACCCTTTGTCTGATTGTCTCATTCCTCACGCGATCCTTCCTAGTATGCCCACACATCCAACGCAGCATGCGCATCTCTGCCACACTCATCTTTTGAATGTGACATTGTTTCACCGCCCAACACTCTACGCCATACAGTAATGCAGGCCTAATTGCCGTCCTATAAAATTTACCCTTCAGTCTAGTCGGCATACCTCGATCGCATAGAAATCCTGACACACTCTTCCATTTCATCCACCCTGTTCTGATTCTATGGGATACATCTCCATCTAACTCACCGTCTTTTTGAATTATGGAGCCCAAGTAACGGAACATATCGCTGACTGGTATCTCCTTACCATCCAGAGTACTTTCGCTATTACCATTGCTTCTACCTCCACCAAACTTGCACTCCATGTACTTTGTCTTGCTCCGACTTAGTTTGAAACCCTTATTCTCCAATGTTTGTCGCCATACTTCCAACTTTGCTTTAAGACCTAATTGCGTCTCATCAATCAATACAATATCGTCGGCAAACATCATGCACCACGGTATATCGTCTTGAATTGACTTTGTAAGTTCATCCATGACTATGGCAAATAAGAAAGGGCTCAGAGCCGATTCTTGGTGCACTCCGATAGTAATTGGGAACTCTTCAGTCCTTCCTACACTAGTACGGACACTTGTAGTACAATCCTCATACATATCCATGATGATGTTGATATACTTGCGTAATATGCCTTTCCTAGTTAAAGCCCACCAAAGAACTTCTCGAGGTACCCTATCATATGCCTTTTCTAAGTTAATGAACACCAAATGCAGATCCTTATGAGCGTATCTATACTTCTCCATAAGTTGTCGAAGAAGGTGAATGGCCTCAGTTGTTGAGCGACCAGGCATAAAACCGAATTGATTCTCTGAAATCTTCACAGTTCTTCGAAGTCTTTGCTCAATCACTCGCTCCCAAAGTTTCATGGTGTGACTCATAAGCTTAATCCCTGATAGTTGGCACATTCTTGTACATCACCTTTATTCTTAAATAAGGGGATAAGAGTACTCTTCCTCCAACTCGTTGGCATCTTATTGTTTCTCCAAATCATGTTGAAGAAACTTGTTAACCACTCGACGCCTCTCTCTCCCAAACTTCTCTAAGCCTCGATCGGTATGCCATCTGGACCCATTGCTTTCATCCGTCTCATCTTCCTCAGAGCTTCTTTAACTTCCGTTGTTTGGATCCTTCTCACAAAATCACGATTTACCATACCATATGGTATGGACAAATCACTGATATCTTGTGTTTTGTTCCCGTTGAATAGTGTATCAAAGTATGACCTTCACCTCTCTTTTATCTCTTCGTCGTCCATTAATATCCTCTGATCGACATCCTTCACACACTTAACTTTTGCAATATCTTGAGTCCTGCGATCATGAAGACGAGCAAGTCATCAAATATCTAGTTCTCCTTCCTTAGAGTCCAACTTTTCATACAACTCCCTGTTCACTTTCCCTCGTGCTTCCCTTACGACTTTCTTTGCTTGTCTTTTAGCCTCCTTGTATGCTTCTATGTTCTCATCACTCCAACTTGTCCCCAACTTTTTGTAGCAATCTCTTTTGTTCCTTATGGCTTGTTTCACCTCATCATTCCACCAAGACGTGTCCTTTTTAGGTGGCAGACATCCTTTAGATTCTCCAAGTACCTCTTTTGCCACTTTGTTAATGGTCAACTCCATTGATAACCACACATCATCCACATGTGTTTCATTATCAATACGCCATACATCTTCACCGACCATTTTGTGTGAAAAGCTTTGTTGAAGATCTCCCTCAAGCCTCCACCACTTTATCTTTGGCTCCACTTGTTGTTTAACTTGTCTTCTATGGTTCTTACCTCAAAAGTCGAGCACAAGCATCCTATGCTGAGTGACAACACTCTCATCTGGAATAACCTTACAATCAGTGTAGCTAGTTCTCCAAGTGGTCCGTACTAAGAAGTAATCAATTTGGGTACTATTAGCTCCACTTTTATAGGTTACAAGGTGAGAGTCTCTTTTCTTAAACCAAGTGTTCATTATAGCCAACTCATACGTCAAGGCAAAATCCAAAATGTTCTTTCTCACCTCATTCCTAATGCCAAAACCATGTCCGCCATGAATACTCTCAAAGCCATCACGACTCGAGCCCACATGCCCGTTGAGGTCACCTCCTATGATCAACTTCTCTCCCCTTGGCACTCATCGCACCACGTCTTCAAGATCTTCCCAGAACTGTTGGGTTGTAGATGCATCCAATCCCACTTGTGGTGCATAGGCACTTAACGCAGACACAATCTCACCCCTTATCACCAATTTAATGCTCATGATGCAATCGTTCTTCCTGAAGACTTCTACCACATCCTCAACATAGTCACGCGCCACAATAATGTCTGCCCCATTTCTGGTCTTATCTCTCCCCGAATACCACAACTTAAAACCTCCGGGATTAATCTCGTGTGCTTTCTCTTCAACCCATTTAGTTTCTTGCACACACATAATGCTGATATTCCTTCTCGTCATAACCTCGACTACCTCGGAAGATCTGCCTGTAAGAGACCCAACATTCCATGTCCCAAAACGCAATCTAGCACTCCACCTTCTGTTCTTAGCCCCATCTCGGACCCCACCATGCCCTTGCATATTTGACATCATCCTCGGGCAATGAGATGATGCGCCGCTTCCGGGCGACGAATATATGACTAAAATTGGATAAATATATGACTAAAATTCGTTTGGACAAAAAAGAGAATAAAAATATGTGAACCTACTCAAATGTCTCTCCCAGCTATTTACGCCCCGTCTCTGATCCGTGCAAGCTTTTCTTCTTCAGATCTGCGCATCGTCTTCTTCCTCCACAAACCTGCGTATTGTCTTCTTCCTCCACAAGACTTGTGCATCATCTTCTTCCTCCACAAGACCGGCGCATCGTCTTCTTCCCCCACCAGACCTGCGCATCCACCAGTCCGGCACCTCCACTCCGCTGCTCCGCCGAAGACGCATATCTCTTCTTCTCCATTCTTCTTTGTCGGTAACGGATCTCGTTGTGTAATAGTCAAAAATATTGTTGTACAATTCAGAATTATTATATATAATATTTTTGACTATTATTGTGAAGGCTATGGGCGCCCCTCGCTAGGTGCGCGACTGGCCAGAGAGGGGGCTGGGATAGAACAGGTGGGCTTGGGAGGTGACAGGGGGTAGGGTTGTAGACGGCCTGGCGAGGCTGGCTGCCGGAGAGGGGCGATAGTAGGGGACCTGCAATGGTGGAGAGTGGTGGTGGCCGACGGTGGAAGGTCTGGCGGTGACCAAAATGACACGGGCGGTGGTTGTAGTGACACGTCGATGGTGGCTATAGTGACACAGATATGGCTACATTGACACGGACGGTGGCAACAGTGACATGGATGGTGGCTACAGTGACACGAACGGTGGCTATAGTGACACCGGCGGTGGCGGCAGTGGCATTTGACAGTGACTTAAAACTGGACAATGACATTAAAATCTGACAATGACATTAATATGACATTCTTAGTCACATTTTTATCCTAATGATAATGTGGTCACATTTTTGGAAATTGTCTTTACTTAAGTATGATTAAGGTACCCGAGTGAGGGTGTTGCGGCCTAAGCTGTGAACGACTAAGCTGTGAAAGAAGATAACTTCGAGCTACAGCTGCGGACGATTGAAGAAGAACGGCAGAACCGCAGAAGACTTATTATACAGAGTAAGAAGTTCGAGCTCAATATTCATTTTCAAAATTATCATATATTTTTATTCTTATTTCAAGTATTCTAAAACCTTCCTGCAGTACGCTTTTACAATACGATATCCCCTCCATAAGTCCCCCCAGAAATAGTGACAATACACTCGTACTTGTGTGACCTTATTATCATATAGCTTGTTCTCTTTTTGAGACGCTTTGGTGAATAGGCCCAAAGTATAGATGTTTCAAAAAATGGATTTTCCTTATTCTCTTTAGATTAGTCACAGAAACAAGGAGTGTATTTGCTGTGGGGTGTACTTAAACAGAGGGAATAGTTATTGTAACATACGACATTAAAACATAGAGATTTTAAAAAAAATTAAATAAGAAGAGTATAAAGTGGGCATTTATGTGAATTTCTTTTAATTTAAAAAAATAAATTAAGTATGTCCAACATAATTGTTATAACCAAGGTTTTGAAAGGCGAAATCGGGCCCTGAGGCGTTCTGTGGTAGCCTCACGAGGCGTAAGCCTCGAGGCGTAACGAGGCGTAAGCCTCAAAATTAATTCCTTAAATGTTAATCAATATTGCAGCTAAACAAAATCACAAGTAAAATGATTTGTTTAAATGAATTTAAATAAACTAGATACACAAAATAGCCAATTAATTAATAATCAGCTTTAAAAAAGAAGATATACTCAAACTGTAATGAAGTTAATTATAATATTTCTAATTAAATTAAATAATGGATAATCAACTTTAATAAATAAAAAAATAAAACCAAACTGTAATGAACTTAACTATAATATTTCCAATTAAAATGTAAATCTTAAGTCAAGTAAACTAGTAAAGTACGTAGTATTAAACAAATAGATTATTAAGCTAAATGATAGTTTTATATGATAACTTTACGGATTAAACAGTAGGCTTAATAAATACATTACTAACGTTTTATGAAAAACATATAGTTCTAAATAAAACCTTTAAATAACTAAAAAGTTAAATAATAAACACAATAAGAGATAATAGAAGTTGAGCGGTGGAGCTCTTCTTCAAGTCGTTGTTTCTAGTTTTTTAATATCTAGTTTCGTAGAAGAGTGAAAGACCAGCCATTGGAATTTGCAAGACCTAAGGCCGTGGCCAAGTAATAAAAGATCCAGGTATTTTATATTTTAGGAGAGAAAAAATTGAGGCCCCCAATATTTTTTTTAAAAAGGCCCAACCTTGCGTAAATTTAGGGGCGAACGCCTTGCGCCCTCGGTCCGCATCAACGCCTCAGCAAATTGAAGGCGTAAGCTTTGTTGGCAGAAGGTAAAGCTTAAGCCTTTCAGGCGATTACCGACCGCCTTTGCGCTTTTGTGCCTCAGGTGCGTAAAGGCTAAACGCTTTTTAAAACCATGGTTATAACTCAAAAGAAACTGGGATGGGATGTCCAACATAATAGAAAATGTTAGAACTCAGTTTTGTTATACAATTGTAAGAAGTA